GGGGACAGGGGGCACAGGGACACCTGGCAGGGACAGCGGGGGGACAGGAACACCCGGGATGGGGATGGGGGGACAGGGACACTCGGGATGGGGACATGGGGGGACAGGGACACACAGTCAGGTGCAGGATGGGGTGACTGGGGACACTCAGGATGGTGCTGGATGGGGATGGACTGGGACAGGGACACCCAGGCTGGGGACAGGGTGGCTGGGGACGCCCAGGCTGGTGCAGGTGGGTGGGCACAGACTCCAGGGACACACAAGCCGGTGCAGGATGGAGACAAGGACACCCAGGATGGGGACAGGGTGGGGATGCAGAGAGTCCCCAGGGACACCCAGGCTGGTGCAGGTGGATGGGGACAAGGGGGACAGGGACACAGTCGGGTGCAGGATGGGGTGACTGGGGACACCCAGGATGGTGCTGGATGGGGATGGGGTGGCTGGGAATGCCCAGGATGGGGTCACTGGAACAGCCAGGCTGGTGCAGGGGATGGGCACAGTCACCAGGGATGCCCAGGCTGGCACAGGACAGGGACAGGGTGGATGGGGATGCCCAGGACAGGGATGGGGTGTGCTGTGACACACAGACTGGTGCAGGATGGGGACGAGGGAGGACAGGGACACCCAGGATGGTGCAGGTGGGTGGGGACAGTCTCCAGGGACACCCAGGATGGTGCAGGTGGGTGGGGACAGTCTCCAGGGACACCCAGACTGGTGCAGGACGGGATGATTTGGGATGTCCAGGGCACTGCAGGTGACGGGGTCGGTCCCAGGGACACCCAGGCTGGCTCGGGGCACAGAGGGGGGGTGGCCGTGCCCCCCCAGCCACGTCCCCGTGCCCGGCAGGGGAGCCCGAGTTCCGCTACGTGGCCGGGATGCACGGGAACGAGGTGCTGGGCCGGGAGCTGCTGCTCAACCTCATGGAATACCTGTGCCGGGAATTCCGGAGGGGCAACCCCCGCGTGGTGCAGCTGGTCACGGACACCCGGATCCACCTGCTGCCCTCCATGAACCCCGACGGATACGAGACCGCCTACGAGCTGGTAGGGACGGGGAACGGGACCCCCCAGGGCCGCCCCGGGGCCCATCTCAGTGCCCATCCCAGTGCCCATCCCAGTGCCCCCACAGGGCTCGGAGCTGGCGGGCTGGGCCATGGGCCGCTGGACCTACGAGGGCATCGACCTCAACCACAACTTCGCCGACCTGAACACGGCGCTGTGGGACGCCGAGGACAACGACCTGGTGCCCCACGAGTTCCCCAACCACTACATCCCCATCCCCGAGTACTACACCCTGGCCAACGCCACGGTGAGCCCCCGAGACCCCCCAG